GCCGTGCTGGGCTCCAGCCACCCGGACACGCTGGCCAGCATGGCCGAGCTCGCGGACCTCCTTCGCGAAAAGGGCCAGGATCCGTTCCTTTTTTAGGCCGCCTTGGGGTGGTTCCTCGTCGTCGTCGTCGTCAGGTCGTCGTCAGCGTCATCGCCGCCGTCAGTGAAGACTGTAGTCGTCATCGTCGTCTCCGTCGTCTCCGTCGTCGTCATCGTCGTTTTCGTCGCCGTCGTCGTCAACGTCGTCATCGTCGCCAACGTCGTCAACGTCGTCGTCGTCGTTGCGCAGTCGCCGTTGTCAGCACAGTCGCCTTCGCCGTCGTTGTCGTCGGGTCGGGCATTCTTTTTCAGTAGCGCCAGCCTCCGCTGCTGCCGCTCCTGGGGGTCGCCCCGCGCTCCAGGGTGGAGGAGGAGGAGGAGGAGGAGGATGAGGAGGAGGATTAGGAGGAGGAATAGCACCAGAGGGGGGTGAAGAAGAGGAGGAAGCAGACGAGGAAGCGGAGGAGTTGGGGGGAGGACGAGAAGGAGAGGTAGGAGGCGGGAGAGGACGATAGGGGAAGAGGAGAAGGGCAGGCTGATGGGGATGATGGGGAAAGGGGATGATGGAGGAGGAGGGGATGAGAGTGGAAGGAATAGGAATAGGCTGAAGCGGCAGCGCTGCGTGATGTTAAGGCTCATTTGCTTGCAAACGCAAATGTAAGCCGCTCTGACAGTCGTCCAGCTCAGCCGCTAGTGTTGTTTGAAGTTATGAGTGCCATTGTGAAGGCAGAATGTTTCAAGAGACCTGGACAGGACATTGTTCCCGGTGCTGTTGGAATGCAAATTGTGGAAGTATTAATGCGAACGGTTGTTACACGTTGTTTTGAAGACACGTTCTAATAGACCGCATTGGGACTGGCAGGTGTTCCTTTCCAGGTGATCTTGACGAGGAGTTCAGGTGGTTGGGCATGCGAGCTGGGACTCAGAAGAAGTACATGCGCATGCTTAGAGATGCTCCGTGGGCATGCAAGCTTGGACTCAGAATACGTACAGGCGCATCAGATAGGAGACCACATGCGAACCCTACCCCTACCCCCCACGATTTCTGAGGGGGAGGGTGGGGTTCACTTCGTTCGGGAGCTCTCGAGCGAAGTGAACCCCACCCTCCCCCTCAGAAATCGTGGGAGGTAGGGGTAGGGTTCGCATGTGGCCCCCTATCAGACCGCAGGAGCTCATCGGAAGTCAGCAGTGGATGTACATATCTTGCGATGTGTTCGGAGTCCGGAGCTGTACGTGTTGCTGGCCAATGGGGCTTACCGCCCGTCGTTCGCCAGCCTGATGACAAGAGTGATCACGATGGTGTAACCCAGCTTTTGCACGTGCACGTCCTCGTGCACATGGTTTGGTTTGAATATGATGTGTTGGCATCGCTCGTTTACGCGAATAGCCAAGCTAAGATGACATTGTCCGAAGCAGCAAGCTATGAATTGTTCGAGTATGTGCAAGTTCTTCGTCAAGACGATCTGTAATCGCCCATCCCCTGGTTCGACGAGGTCATGGATTTGTTACTTCTGCGTCTGCACTGAAAGTGGGTGGACAGGGGGATGATTTCAGGCTACCCGATCGGGACATTCACATCTCCCACGCCAGGGTGGCTGACAACATGCACGTTTTGCCAATGTAGTGAAGCGCGCGTCAGCTATGCTGAAGCTTCTCACTGTTTCTGGGTCCGCGCTTTGGAAATCATGCAGGGATATATGCAGTTCATGGCCGTTGGATATCTTGTAGGTGCGAGGCTGTGCAGTTCGCCGTGGCAGTATGCCTCGAGGCAGGTCGATGAGATGAAGGTGGTTGGCACGATAATCATGCAGAATGCGTCTTCGAGGAGGACTCTACTCCACAGGCAAGCGGTTGGTTTTGTCACAATGGTTAGATACAAGACAGAATGTTGTCCCAGGCTGCCGTGCAACGCCAAACTCATGGGTGTTGGCATGGGCAAGCATCCGCCGCGTTTGGTGCCGATGCGTTGCACTTGATCAGTAGTTCTTCTTGCAAATGGAAAAATAATTTCAGCGAACAATTCTGGACGCGCTCGTGACGGAAACACGTCATTCGCCGTGCGCGCGTGCAGTTCCATATAATTCTTCAACTATCAATTTAACAATTCCGATGGCGCCAGAGCATGCGCATTCAAGATCATCTGATGGTCTAGTCTACGGTTGATGATCTTCTGCTGCTTGAAGTTTACCCAGGCGCCAGCGAGACATAGAGCCATGCGCATCATAGTGAAATTGTCACTCACAACAAGGTCTTAGTTAATGAGCGCGGCGGTCATACAGTCGCGAGCGCAGAAAATAGAGCTGGGCCATTGGTAGTCACAGTGCAGCGCTTGCTCTCGTACGGTTGGTGACCAAGGCAGTATTCTTGTTCATCGGTCACGCGGAGGCGCCGTATCTGGAAGTGGAGCAAGCTCGCAGATCAGATATGTAATCGTTCAATGGGCTCCCAGCGGTACTTACGACTTGAAAGGAAAGCATACCACACTCAGACATTTGGAGAATTGCAGCGTGATCCAATGCCATTCGGACGAGGACGCGGCATTGTTGCTGCAGTTATTTTTGTTCTCGTTTGTTCTGCGTGTGGGCGAAATTTCAGATCAATTCCGTACCCTCTTGCGCGCAAGAAGCGTTTTCATCAACGATGGCGGCGTTATTGCGCCGGCTGCGGAATGTGTTCCCCCCACTTTGGACATGAAAGCGATGGAATTGCTCAACTTAAGTGCACGTTGATTGTCTTCTGTTCGTCTTCTGCTGCACACCTCACAGTTTAAATCGAATTAGTTCCCGCCCAACGTGCCTGGACGCATTCAATTCCAAGGTTCTTGCCTCAGTGTTTCGCATACATTTGCTTCATCAGACCAATGGCGACCGTAATGGTGTAGGAGTCTCGATATGTACCTGTTGACGTTCGTTCGCGAGCAACCGTGTCAATCTCGGAAGATGTCATCTTCAGGGCTACTCGGATCGGTTTGTGATCCATACCCAGCCAGATGCAGGAGAGGAGGAGGAGGAGGAGGAGGAGGAGGAGGAGGAGGAGGAGGAGGAGGAGGAGGAGGAGGAGGAGGAGAGGGAGGGGGAGAAGGCGGGATGGGAGAAGGGGAGGGGAGGAAAGAGCGGAAGAGTGGGAGGATGGAGGGAAGGAAGGAGGAGAGAGAGAGAGAGAGAGAACGAAATGGAGGTGTGGAAAAGGCCGAGAAAGGCGTCCGTCTCATTTCCCCTTCTCATAATCTGAAAGTGCTGTGGGGCAATTAGATGTGCAGTTCTACTTCTCCCCAATCTTAGATACCCGTCGCAAACGGCAATGAGACTGGCAACGACGTGATAGGCCATGGTGACCTTTTGGACTACTTCTCGGAATCAGCAATTTAATATCCCATCCAATGCCCCACTCAGCCGGAAGGCATGCATTGGGCCAAAAAAGGTTGCGCGGGCAAAGGTGTGTGCGCATGCGGTGGTGGGAATACTGGCGATGGTGATAGTAACGATGTAAAGCGAGCATGTCACGTTCGCCTCCTCCCTCTCTCCGTCTCTCCGTCTCCCTCCACTTCTTCATCCCAGATGCTTCTCGTCCTCCCTTCTGCATGTGTTTCTCCTCCTCCTCCTCCTCCTCCTCCTCCTCCTCGTCCTCACAGTCCTCCCTGCTGTTCCTCCTCGTTTCTCTGGCTCTCCATCGTCGTCCTCCTCGCACACATCTCTCCTGCTCCCCTGCATCGATCCTTCGCCCTCCTCCTGCACCCCGTCCTCCTCCTTGTGTGCTCTCCTTCGTGATCGTTCTCCTTGCCCTACTCCCTCTTCTCCCCCCTCCGAATCATCCTCCTCTCCCCCCTCCTCCCTCCTCTCCCCCCCTCCCTCTCCGAATCGCCCTCCCGATGGCGCCGACGAATGCGTTGCCAAGGGGGCACCGGGCGCAGGGCAGAGACACGGGCGTCGGAGGGGGCTGGCAGCAGCAGGGGGGGGACGGGCAGGGCTAGACGCGGAGGTAGGAGGAGGGATGGGAGGCCAGAAGGGACGAGGAGGAGGAGGAGGAGGCAGGAGGGAGGGAGGAGGAGGAGGAGGCAGAAGGGAAGAGGAGGAGGAGGAGGAGGAGGAGGAGGAGGAGGAGGAGGAGGAGGAGGCGCGGCGGACGCGGGTCTCTTCCGCGCGCCCGACGCTCCATAGTCGGGAGCCGGCAGACGCCCCCGCCGCCCAACCCCAAGGGGCGGCACCCCCGGGGGTAACTGCCTGCGAAACATGCAAGCAGCTACTCCCAGGAGGGTGAGGGCTTCTGCCAGCCGGAGCCTCTGGCCAGCATACAAGGGAGCTCGTAGACGATCGCGACCTCCCCGGCCGCCGGCCTGCGCCTCTCCGCGGCGTCGCAGTCGTCGGTGCCCCCCAGTAGCGCCGCCCAGCCGCCGCAGCGCAGTCAGCGGCGCAGTAAGCCAGCAGCGCTCCGCAGCGGGCCCGCGGGCGCGGGGTCGCGCTGGCTGGCGGCCTCGCCAAGCGTCTGGGGCCTGCGGCCAGCTGGCCCGCGCTCTGCAGCCCGGGTGTCGCGCTCGCTAGGCGGTGGCAAGGGCGGCGTCCCCCTCGAGCGGCCTCCGGTGGCGGCGGCGCCGACGCCTGGCGCGCCGCCTAGCGCAGGCCGGCTGCCTTGCGGAGCTGGCGCGCCGTGGCAGCTTGCAGGCCGCAGCTCAGGACCTTGTAGGCCCGCGCCAGCTCCCGCGGCTGCTGTTCCTCAGGCAGGCGTCTTACCTGCCCGAGCAGCCAGAGGCGGGCCTCGGCGCCGAGCCGCCCCCCCGCCTCGAGGACGAAGGGCGTGAGCCGAGCGCCTGGGTAGCGCGCGTGCTTCTCGCGCTCGCCGCGCCTGCTGGCCTCGCCGTCCCGGCGCGCGGCCACGCGCAGCTCGGCTGGCGTGCCGGCTGCGGGGTGGCGAACGGAGACGTCCAGCCACCGGGCCCCGTCGTCTTCCTGGTACTCCAAGTCCAGGATGGCGCGCTCGAGCTGGCCCTCTGGACGCTGGCGGTCCCAAGTCGGTACTCTCTGCTCGAGGAGTGGCCGTTCGCCGCGCCAGCGGTGGAGGAGC